AGGCTTCCTGACCCTGTGCATGTATGTGTACGTGTGTGTGCTGCCAGATAGTAACACACTTCTGCAGACCAAGGGTGTGTGAATGTGGATGAATGAGTTAGTTTCTGTTTGTGATGGCCTTTGGGTGAATGGGTGAATGTGGCATGCAGTGTACATCGCTTTGAGTGGTTGGAAGACTAGAAAGCCGCTATAAGTACAATCCATTTAGACTACAGTCATGCGAGCAGCTCCTTTGTAAAATAAACCCCTTTCTGACAAGTTGCACTTAAAGGCAACTGCAGTGATCAAACTCTTTCCCAGAGGTTTTAGTGCAGTTAAATACTAATTTGAAAATGGGAATATTGAATATAAAATGCTTTTTTTGTCTTTATATGGCGTCTACATTTTTATTCAACTCATAGAATAATGGAGAACACAGTATGCAGTAAATATCTCTGAGAGAGATACAGGGGTCTGCACACCGCACACACTGTATGGGAATTTGTGACAGCATTGATGACGCTGATATCCCACAGTGATGTTTACATGGTGATAGAGAGACAATTACATGGCAATACATGTTGAAGTTCTGACAGCCCGCTGTCAATAAAAGAGTCATAAACTCAGGCTGAATTGAGGTGAATTGCCTTCATGGTCGTAGATCAACAATGAATCACAAAACTAATATTGACACAGTAGGCACAGCGCTGAAAGGAGAAGCTCTTTCCTCTTTACAGCCACCAACCCACTGTACAGCAGCAGTATGTGTTCCTGTGTGTAGCCCCCAGCCTCATCCCCACACACACTTATCTTCCCTCTCTCAACAGGAAGTAGTCATAGCAGCAAAGGTCAGAGGTTGCTTCTCAGAGGGCACATGAGGATGTGGTGGTGTATGCGTCATTCACCAATAGGAACTCTTTTCTCACCAAGCCACCGGGAAATGAGGTTATCCTCTCCGCTGGGCTTCCATATGCACCCAGCCACCCACGCACACACACATTTCTGAGCCATAATAAGCTCAAGGCTGAGACAACCCTGCAGTTTTCAAGTCAATAATGTTTTTCATATCAGCAGCAAGCTGCATGTAGCAGCTGGAACAATCACAAATCAAAAGGTTAGTTCACCCAAATTACAAAACCCCCACATTTTCTCACTTAGCTCTATGGTGTCTACCCATGTAGATAGTTCTGGTCAGAACGAAAAGTGTCCTTTTCTGTCCACACCAAGAAAAACAACCATAGCAATAACTGTAACGATGTGATAACCCCACTGATAGTACTGGATAGACTAGGGCTGTACGATATGGTAAAAACAACTTATTGCTACTATTTTGACAGATATTGCAATTGCGAAATGATTCACGATTATTGGGAATGATCATTTTTCCATCTAATGTTCATTTTCACAGAAAAAAACATTAACCATTGGGATCTGCACCAAAAAAATATGTTTTCTTAAATCTGGAAAACAAGATTTATAAGCGAGTGCATCTCTTCAGAACTACCACATTTCATTATAATGCTGTAATATGGGCATCATTAAGGAGCAACTGTAGAGTGCTCAGAGAGAGATTTCTCAGGCAAAATTATGTTTTTTTTATGTGTAATTTGAAGCCTACTATTATGTTATATAAGCGTTCAATAACTTATGACCCACAGACCTAAATGTGACTATTTATTCAATAGAAAGCAGACTGTTCACACATCCCAGATATCCCAATAAGAAATAAAACCTAAAAATTCTGCATGGCTGCATACTGCAAGAGGTTAGTGAGACCTTTTAAAATACTTCATCCCAATATCGACCAAAACTTCCTCTGATACTAATTCCTTCACAAGTGACCACATGTAGTAATAAATTATACAAAAGAACTGTTAAACCCTCCTTTGCTAGTCCCGATTAAGTACACTAAATTTCAGCCTGTCATCCCAAGGTCCTGATTTAAATATCCTGTTTTGAGATAAATAATCTGATCTAATCTAATAAATCTCAATTTTTTTTTTTAATTATTAAAAATATTTATGCTTTAAAAGATATCAAACATAAATTCCATGATTGAGACTAAGACATTATTTCATTATGTTGAGATAGCGCAATTATATGATGATCATATGGGTGTGTCTTTCCCTCAAGGTTAAGAATAATGTTGAGGTTCAAACAGACTAGAATCCTAGATAATGATAAGATAATGAGTGGATCGTGAGACATTTTACTTGTGATGAAGAGAATGCAATATTTGATAGATCCCTCAAATGTCAATCATTTATTTTGGTCACTTGGTGGCAACACAACAGGCTGTAAACAAAAGTCAAACCTATTATCAGCTTCCAAAGTTGATAAGAGTTATGTGTTGCAACAGTTGCACATACAAAGCACAAAGCAATATTATCATTAATTTGGAGTGATGTCCAATATTCCCTCTCTTTAGGTCTGTTTTTGGTCTCCACCAACTCCTGAGAAAAATATTTGGCTCTCTCACTGTTACTATGTTCACCAGCTAGCTCTAACTGTGTCTGTCTGCTATTTGCAGGGGTGGCTCTAGAGAAATATTCACATGGTGTCCCAGAGGAAAAAGCCCCCAAATTAAGATATTTTAAGTTATTTTTAAAATAAATCGGAATCATTGTGTTCAGTCTGACAGCATTTGAATCCATATTGGGATGGCAGCTGGGGTGGCCAGGCAAATCTTTAGGCCAGACCTCTAGACCTGTCCCTGGTAGTTTGCTGCTCAGCAGGTAGTGTACAGTGGCTTTTTAAAGGTTTTTCACTGAAAACAGCTGTATAGATTAACAAGGTCAATAAGATGAAGATTTACTTTATTAATCCCCAGTGGGGAAATTCTTTTTTTCTACTTGATTTTTTACACATAGGCCTGACATAAAGTCACACACACACACACACACACACACACACACACAAACACAAACACACGTGTCTTATAGATGTGCAAATGTCGAGGAGTGTGCTGGAGGAGTGATGGGTTACCACATAATGGTGCCCCAAGCGGTTAAGTGCCTTCCGCGCTCAAAGGCACCTCAACAGTAACCAGGAGGTTAACTGGCACCTCCCCAGTCACACTCCATACTGTGGTTCATTGCTGAAGTGGCCGCCCTCCGGTTCCCCAGCGAAGTCCCTATGGACTGAGCTACTGCCGCCCCTTAATAAGAGCGGAACTTATTTGTGCACTACATTACTCGGAGTAGTCCCCAGTGGTCGCTGTGGTCAAAGCCTCACATGCAGCAATAAACTGTGGACAATAAAGCCTACCTAAGCCCCAGAGCATATTGGGAATCCCTTATTTACGGTACCATGGTAACTGTGGAGCCCAAACGTGAAACATAATCACAATGCAGGGGTGACATAGATAGCACCTGTCTATGCTCCTGACGTTATATCACTTCTGATGACATAATAAGCTCTTAGCAAGAGTGAACAACACTGATGGACAGATACAATTGCTGTCAATGGGAGTCTTCTTCAGGAAATCATTAGATTTTAGTTGGCCACATGGCTGTGTATGCAAGTACATAAATTGTTGTGTGTGTAAATGTTGTATCAGCACACTGACTGTGTGTACACCATGTGTCAACAAGGTTTTTATGAATACTTTTCCCATACAGACAATAGATTTAAATTAAAATGAATCTTAGCACTCTGATTATATATGATTATTTCATATAGGACTATCAGTCTGAGCTGGGGGATGAATTTATTTCTCATGTAGGAGCTTGCTGCCCTACGCACAAGATGTTAATATTATGTAGAACTGCTCATGTGAAAAGCTACATACATACTGTATATACCAAACAGTCAATTGTATATACATGTAAGTATGGCTGGGCGATAAATCGATTTTATCGATTAATTCGAATTTGTAGTTAAACACGATTTATTTTTAGTTAAAATCGTTTTTCTCTTGAACTTCCACAACACCAGCGCTCCCTTTGGGCTCCCGTAGGTCAGAGTGCACTGACCCCTCCCCCTGCCTCTCCACAGATAAACACAACATGGCAGCAAGCCAGGATGAGCTCATCCCCCAAAAAGGCACAGAGTCGTCGGTTGTTTGGAACTGGTTTGGTTTTGTGGCATCCGACAGCGAACAAACCACGACCCACTGCAAAGTTTGTTTGAAAGCTGTTGCAACCAAAGGTAGCAGTACGACCAATTTATTCCAGCACCTCAAGCAAAGGCATGCAGCCGAGTAGGAGAAATGTTGCTCTCTGCGAGATATACAGGACCGCAGCCCACAAACACCCGCTAAAAAACAGTCTACAAAAAAATCGATTAAAATCGTAAATCGGGTTTGGTGTGAAAAAATCGGAGATTTTATTTTTAAGCCATATCGCCCAGCCCTATATGTAAGATAAACATACAACGTATATGTATTGATGGATTAGACTTTTTGTCAGAACTGCGTTTTGAATCGTGCAGTGATGTAAGGTGGACCCCAGTGCATTATCAAATAGAGACTTAACATTGGATAACATCAATATTACCCAGCAATCATCATTGCATTTCTGTATGCAATAAAAGGGCTTTTTCGAGGAGATAGAGAATATTATACCATTTTTAACTGTAAGTTCTTCTTTGAAAAGAACATAACTCACTATCAAAAAACCATAACCATTTTGAAATGACACAGTTTTTTCAAACTAATTTGGGTCTGACCCTAGCTCAGCTACAACATAGGTACTCAAACAGAAAGTATTTGTAGAGGCTGCTTTATTAATCACAAAGGTTTGTATCCTTTCATCTCCCTTAAAATGAGTTTCTTTTGACTTGTTTCGTATAGACTTATTATTTGAAGACCTTTCTCACACAGCCAAACAGGTTATAAAGCACAGCCATGAAAATATTAGAATATATATCATAATGAAAATGCAATATTTCAGGACTATTTCACCTCACATTTAATTTTTCTCATGGAGAAATATTTCACTGATCACCGACCACTTTCCTCAGTCATTGCTCTACACCACCTGCCATAACCCAGAAGCACTGGAATGGTATTATGGACTTACTATGGACTCGTTCCTGGCCTTGGTGTTGACAAAGTCCACATCCAGGCTCTTCTCTTCGCCAGGGACTGGCAGGTAGTTGTCACTCCTCCTCATCATAGCGGTCTCCTGCTGCGGGCAGCCTAAGTGCTCACAAGCAAGGGGAGGAGAACCTGGCAAAGGAACAGAGAGATGGATTTAGCATCAGCCATTTGTGTTATTATAAGATAGTACTGGCCAAGCATGATTTAAAGCCCATAATCTTGTTTCTACTTCCTTTTCTTTCTATATTATAGTTAGTAAAAAATCCCTGCATGTGTTCCTACGTAGCACAAGCCCCAAACTGAAAGAGGACCTAAACTGAGAGTCAATCGCTTTCAGAAAAAATTAAAATGAAATGGGTTAAAACAATTGGGTTTTTAAAGGACCAGTGTGTATGATTTAGTGCAATATGATACGATAAGCGTCCTTTTGTCCAGTGAGGGTGCAACCAACTCGCCTCACTCCCCCCCTCCAAGCATGTAGGAGAAACTATGGTGGCCAACAGTGGTTCAACATGGCAGACTCTATAGAAAAGGACCCGTTCCCTCTGTAGATATAAACAGCTCATTCTAAGGTAACAAAAACACAAAGATTCTTATTTCCAGGTGATTATACACTAATGAAAACATACCTATAAATATTATATCACAATTCTGCCATTAGAGCCTTGTAAATGTTACACACAGAACTTTAAGTAGCACAGACACATCACGATACGTACAACAGAAGTCCGTAAAGGGCTCAGACCACAAGTCCAGAGGGTGCACATTTGGATTCAGGCCCTGAGCAGGAGTACGGTCCCTTTCCCAAACCAACCCTCTCACTACACAATATGTCTTCATATGGAGCCACACTCACAGCTGTGGAAGGCTCTGTGCATCAAGGAAGGGTAAAAATAAACAGATAAACTGCGGGATGCACTCGCCACCATTAACAGGAAACAGCTGTCACCATGGATACTGATAGATGCTCTGCTAGCTCAAGAGTTGTGTTGTATTACGAGCTGTTCCTCTGTAAAGGTATCGTATCCACTTGTAGTCCAGTGATCCAGCTGTCATGACCAGTTCGATGTCATGAGGCAGTATGAGTATTCTCCTTAGGGAGCACAAATTACATTTTAACAAGAGCTTACTCAGTGCGTACTGCAGCTCTGACCAAAGAGGAAACTTATCAAACACAGACACAGCAATATGCTGCAAACACACAGTTCATTATCTGAATTCCCACAACTGTGCTGGATATTGTTCATTAAAGCTAAGGACGGATCGTCATAAAGAATACATTATAATGTGTCACCTGATAACTGCTTATTACACACTGCATGACACAACTGCATTTTCAACTTTTCAACTGTTTTTTCAGTGTTTTCAGTGTTTAGCCCCCATTGACCCTGTCTCCAGTTTACTGCTTTTCCTTCCATGGAGCACTTTTGATAGGTACTGACCTCTGCAGACCGGGAACACCCCACAAGAGCTGCAGGTTTGTAGATGCTCTGACCCAGTCGTCAAAGTCAAAGTAGCTCAAATCCTCACGCTGCCCATTTTTCCTGCTTCTAACACATCAACTTTAAGAACAAAGTGTTCACTTGCTGCCTGATATATCCCACCCACTGACAGGAGCCATGATAACCAGATAATCAGTGTTATTCACTTCACCTGTCAGTCAGAATGTTATTGCTGATCGTAACATACAGTATAACAACATACTTGACGTATGGACCTGATGTGGGGCTGTTTAAAGGATTAGTTAACAGGGAGCAGGAGAAACATTTAGCCTGGCTAAAGGTCAGGTGTCAGTGGCTGGGTTGCTTTACAGCACATAAAGCCTTTAAGAGCTTTTAAGTGATGGATGAAACGAAAGCCTTCAATAAAACCACAAAGAAAAAAATCAACTCAAACACTAAAACAACCTTTCGTGGTGGTGCACATAATGAATGTCCTCCCTCAGAAGCAAGGCAGAAGTGTGACGCTGTTACATTGCTGCAGAACCTCTAAGACAGAAAGTTAGGGTGGATATGGTGGTGTGGCATACAAAGTGCACCTTTACAGGTCCAGTGTGCAGGATTTAGTGTCATCTAGCGGTGTAATTACAACCGCTTCATCCGCCCATTCCAAGAGTGTAGGAAAAACTATAGTGGCAATGAGTGGAAAACGCAAGAGGCCCTATCTAGAGCCAGTGTATAGTTTGTCTGTTCTGGGCTACTGTAGAAACATGGCAGTTCAACATGGCGGACTCTGTAGAAGGTGTCTGTAGATGAAAACAGCTCATTTTAAGGTAACATATTCCAACGATTCTTATTTTCAGCTGATTATACACTAATGAAAACATAGCTATGAATATTATATTCCATTTGTGACTAAATATTTCTAAATAGTACACACTGGACCTTTAAACTAACCAAAGTTGTTATAGCCTCCCAAACATGGAGATCAGAAAAACACAGATAGTAACCATCATGTGGGTTGTTTTGGAAGACAAACTTGTCACAAACAACATTTTTGTGAACTTGTTGCACCACAGAAAAATGGCAGAAAGCCATGAGGTTTTATGGGAAAATGTGTCTGTTTTTAAGAAGCACAAAGCCTTATTTCTTTATAGCAATCATGGCATCACACTGAGGTAATAGCGGCTGGGACTATAGGGTGCCTCAGGTGAAGTGTGCAGCAAACAGTTCAAATACCTGATATAACATGTCTGGCATTGCAGGTTTGGATTTGTACATAGGATTGCACAGTTATTCAAAATAATGGCTACGTGCCAATTGCAAATCTCAAAACCTGTTGGCAGGCGGATCCTAACGCCTGATTGGTTACCCTGCGCATCAAGTCAAGGCAAATCAATTCCAGATAATGGATTGATGCAGAGCTAGTGAACATCGCTGCAATTTGACCAGCGGGTAATCTACAAGAAACTTGATGCTCCAGAACTGCAATCAGTATGTCAAACGCCAAACGCCCGGGTCCCTGTGTGTGTTGGCCCTGATACCAGAGAAGCAGTGGACTACTTCTTCTAAATCTGCAGTCACTCTGTGGTCAATATCTTGGTCGGAAAGTGCGGAAATAACTCCAAGAACTTCAATAGGTTCCTCTGCTGTACTCGCTACATGCTCTGGGTCAGCAGGTCCTGCTTCCACATCCTCTGCTAAGTCTAAAATGTCTCTCACCAACTCCCTAGAAAGTTCATGAAGATCCTCCATCGTCTCTATCCAGGCACTCTACCTCAGACCAAAGCAATGGATCAGACTAGATTAGCGTTAGCCCCACCCACTGACTTTGATGGGCGAGTTTGACAGATAAAATTAATTCGTTAAGCACTGCAACACAGGACCATGAAATAATTAATTAAATAGTGAAATAATTATATATGTTTTTTACATAAAATTAATTGGTATTTTAATGAATAAATGACACATTTAAGTAATTATTTAATGGTGTATTTTATTATTTAATTTTGGCACTTTTAGTCCTCCATATTTCCTACTAATTGGGAATGTTATCGCAATATCTATCTGAATAATCGCAATATGATGTTTTTACCATATTGTGTATATGTCATGTATATTTCATTCTATTAAAGCTACAGAAAATGTTTTAAGTAATGTACAAAACTATGAAAGAGCTCTTTGTGGTTTATTATATGTAGTTACAGGTATTCTATAACAACACAACCTTGCCCAAGACTTGATATCATCTGCCAAATTTCTTGGCAGAGAGCCTAGACAGGCGGCACCCAGCAGGAGTCTTGCATTTGCTTTCACAACACGAGATGTTTTTACTGTAAATCAACATTTATCATTGTGACTTTATCCACCTGTCTGAAATTTGAATCCAAGTAAATGTATATACAAGGATGTCATTTTATTTTCTATGTCCACTTGAATATGCAGAAATCAGTGTGTTAGCATAGTTAAAAGATTAGGAATTGTAAAATTTTTCCAAGGATGATGGAATAATCAGAAGTTTCTATTGTGCAAGCTAACTGGAGCAGAGATTAAACAGAGACATCCAGTTAAGAGATAACATCTCTTAGATTGTTGCCTTGAGAACTAGGACCACGCAATGATGTTTTCAATGTCAATACCTGCTGAAATACTCAACTGACCATGCCCTGTCACAGAGAGATGGTTTACGCTGAACACATCATAAATAAATAAAAATCCAACAGGATCTAATGGCATCCGCTGACAGTGTTGACACTGAGGGTGATGTGAGCTGACAGTGTGTTTACACAGCAATCTACTGTACTTACATGGTTACATATCAACCACAAATATTCATAGAGTACCATATGTGACTAAAAGTAGTTTCATAGTAAAGAGTAGAGTGCCACATAGTTCAATTCTCCTGTCTTCTTCAGGAGGACAGCCACAAATAGTCTGAGCAATACATGTAGAGAGCAGATGAGTCAAACCAATGAGCTCAAAGGTCAGTGGACCTTTTGGTCATTCAGTTATCTTTTCAGATGGGTATTAAAAAAAAACAGTGGCTATTTTGTGGCTCAGTGGCTTAAAACTGAAATACAAGGCATGTTTCTTTATCATGGGCAAAAAGGGATGATGTAATTTTTTTTAATGGTTTGATTTTTAATTTTCTATTTCACATAACAAAAACTAAAAATATAAATATGCTTTACCCCAGGCTAAAATGTATTGGATATGATTTTAGGCAAACTATGTCTTACTTACTATGTCTGAGGATAAAGGTGTCACTTGTAGTGATGATCCCAGAGAAGATACCTGACTTGAAGGTTCCCTTCAGCTCTAGGCAACTTTTTAGTGTATTTTAGCAAATAGTTTTGGTTTTAGGACCTGCAGCTTTACTGTTTTGGTTCACTGCTCACACCTTGTTTCCAGCAGCAGCAGCAGCCAACACCGATCGTCTACCTGCCCATACAGACAAGGTTAGAGGACGTTACAACTTACTAGGTGATAAAGTGTTTATGATGTCTTTATATCAGGTTCTGCCTCCAAATGGTCAAAAACAAACAAACAAACAATCAAACAAAAACAATTTGATACTGCTTTAAATATAATGAAATGCCCACTTTCTTAATTCTTAGAGCCATCACTCTGAAAGAGCTTTCAATAGCAGTCCACTTTTTACTTCTTAATTTAATGTTAATTGGACTTGGGTAAGTTTGTTGGCTGTGGTCAGGGTTGGGTTTACATGTCACACTGTAGTGCAGAGGCAGAGCGGGTCGTCCCCTAATCGGAAGGTTGTTGGTTCGATCTGCCATATGTCACATGTCGAAGTATCCTTGAGCAAAATACTGAACCCCGAATTGCTCCTGATGCTGTGCATCAGTGTGTGAATGTGCATGAATGCGTTAGTTTCTGTTCAATGGACTTTGCCATCACTGAGTGAATGTGTGTGAAAGGGTGACTGTGACACGTAGTGTAAAAGCGCTTTGAGTGGTCGGAAGACTAGAAAGGCACTATACAAGGTCCATTTACACACACAGATATACGCATTATACAATTTCCCCATGAGGCCAGGTTGAACCCAGTGTAAAATGAAACAAATATTGTTTATTCGGGCCTAGGCAATGACAAAACCTGCACCTGCATCTCTGAGGTTTTTGCTAGGTTTAAACAACCAGTAAAAACTACCAGGATATATGTTAAAATAGCAGTCAAAGTCCACAGCATCTTAATATAAAAGCTTATTGAAATAAGTCCAGGAAGCACTGCTGTGAGGACTCCCTCCATACATCTGGTGTCAGTGCGCCTATGTGCGTTATATCAGCAGCTACAATCCTCCTAAATCAACCAGGGGGGATTTAAGGACGTCTCTGACAAATAGAAAATTAAGTGCAAACACATGCAACATTTTATTTTGTCGCACAAACCGTCATTACAGTGTTTATTGCAAAATGTGGAGAGAAATCTGTGCGGGAATAAAGCGTTCTTACCGGGCTCCTCTGCACTATCGTGCTGCTTTAAGCTCCCAACATGCCCATCATCTTGATGCTCCATTGGCTTTAAAAAGGCGCACAGGATTCCTTCAGAGACCCCAACCAGATCTACAGTGCCGTCGCTCACAGTGCTCCGTGGCTTCACAGCCTCCTGCGCTGTTGCATGGAAACGCTGGACGGATTCATCTTATTAATTCTTTTTGGAGAGCTGATATTGCTGTCAAACTGTTCCCTGTCGAATTTATCCAAAAGAAACTATTTGTCAAAATGACGTGACTGTGTGTACACAGAGTATTCATCTCAATCAGGTGGTTACAGAAGCTGTTTCAGGTCTAAATAAATGCAGCCTGCATGATATTATGTGCCAGAATGAGGCTACTCTATGCTCAAACACGTCTCCTCCGTGTGTGAGGACGCTCTCAGTGTACATGCGATGATCCACTCACACACAGCAGAGTGATAACGCGTACCAAAGCTCAGCGAAAATCGTGCCAAACGGTCTAGAATTATGTTGTATTCAATTCCCACAGGAAAAACAGGGAAATGTGAGTTCCCTGCCTCACCTGGCCACAACTCATCTCAGTTTGAAACCTCGGCTTCCGTCTTCCTCCAAGAATTTGGAGTGAATCCTAGGTTTGGTTACTTTTGACAATCAAGTTTATTTTCTTATAAAAGTTATGGTGGGGAAGTCATTAATACTTTATACTTTAATTACACTGTATACTGTTCTACTTTTTCATTGGTACACTTTTTTATGGATGCACAATGCACATATTTTAACATTCTTAATATTATTTCTATTTCTTATAATGTCTGTCTAATTTCAGTAACTGTTAAGCGCTCGGTTTACTCGCCGTTGCCGACCTGTCGCGCGACAATGTGATGTCACGGAGCGCCTTAACTATTTATACTTGCGACAAGTATACACGAGCCTTTAACGCAGCCAATTCACTTCAGTTTCACTCCCTATTTTCCCCCTGGTTATCCACGCCCACCCTGCAGTTGTTCTGAGCTCCACAAGGAGGCCTTGCCCATTTGAGAACCATTGGGATGGAATAAGTACTCCCAGTCTGTGCTTCTCATGTAATACCATTTGGCCCTTCTGAAGTCCTAAAAGACTCTCCTAACTATACCTTAAAGAAAAAAAGGATCCACCTGCCAAATAAACAATATATTTTTTAACTCAAATGCCAAATTGTGCCTCTTTTCCTTATCTAAAAAAGATAGGTGACCAGACATATTTTTACCTTGCTCAATTTGTACAACATGAATAAAAATTCTGTCATATGAGCCTTTCTTTCCTAAAAAGTGTATATTTTGCTTGTGTTATTTTGTGGCTAGAAAATACAATTATAATTTGGGCAACTGGATAGGAATCTTTTCAATCTTAAAAACATGACTATTATTTTCCTCTAGATGGTTTGAAGAGTCTTTGAGGATTCTGCAGTGTTGTTTGACCTGTCACAGGTGTATCATAGACAATAGCGGAGGGACTTGAATGGGACTGTAAGGTGGGGTTAGACTAAGGGAGGGCATTTTGCTTACAGTCACCTTAACCGTGTTTGATATAACACTGCAAAAGTTCCCTCTTGGATGCCTCTATGGCAGAAAAAACATGACAAAGTGCCCTCTAGGGTGCTGCCTAACCCTAACATGAATGCATCACAACTTTCTACACGCTGGTGTACACCCCTGCCCCTCAAGTCTGAGTTAGCCACTGCCTACAGTGTATGAACAACTGTCCTGGCTCAATCTACACCATCCCTTAAGCACAGGGTGTATGTTAAACCTTCTAAAGGCAGATAGCTGTGAGGCCTGTAAGCACTGTTATTTCCTATGGGCTGTGAATGCAGCATTGTTCTCCAGCAGCTCGAACATCACTGCGCCAGCTGGTGCCGCCCACTCGCGCTGGGGTCTTCCAGTAGGCGCGAGGTGATCTGAGCGCGGCAGTGAGTGTGGTAGTGTTCTCCGTAAAGACAGAACATTAAACAGCCAACACCCTGGAACATCACGATAACGACTTTACACATTATAGCAACACTAAAGGATCAATAGGAATTCATTTAAGTTCAAATATTTGAAATGAGAAGTGAGCAGCAGAATGCCTTAAACATCTCTTCTACATGTCCCAAAACAACAACCACAAAAAGGAAATGTTTCCTTCACTAACTGGTTCCTTTTATCTCCACAACTCTTTGTTACTCTGCTGTCAGCTGCAATGACACGCTCCTTGCTGTTTGAGCAGATATGAAGAGCACATGATGAATAATGGTCATTTAAATCCCGCAGATTATGCCACATAATATCTACAGTGTTCCCCACGTTATTCACAGTGCATCCAGTCAATGGAAACGGCTTAGCGCAATTAAACACACGTAATCAAATACACGCCTCAGGACCGAAGGCGTCAACCAGCCTGCACAGGAGCGTAAAGGAAAAACTCTGCCGGACATCTCCTCTTAATATCAGCACTATAACCAAAACCCCTGGCCAAAGCTTTCTTTTGAAGGTAGAACAAACAACCAAATGTGAGCAGCTTAAGGGAGAAAAGAAGCTGTACCCACCAGACATTTCCACGGAGAACAAATGAATGAAAGTGTAAGTGTAAACAAAGGCAGGTTTCGGAATAATAAGGACAGATGTGTTTGAAAAAAAATATTTACCTTTTTCTCCTGAGTTACAGAGAGAGCCGGCTGGGTAGAGAGTAAAACTGAATAAGGTGCAGGTAGGTACTGGCCAGGTAACACTTCCCACTCACCTGTGCGTAGACGGGCGGAGGAGGAAGTACTTCTGGCCTCCTCAGGTAAAGTCTCCCCTCCCACACAGCAGCTCTGGGACATGAAGTCATTGGTGGTTATGCAAAGTGACAGAGTCTGCTGATTGGCCAGGAGTCCAAAATGTATTCTAAAATAAAGCTAGAATGCACCTGCCTTTGGTTTTGATAGGGGATATGTTATCTGCAGTAATGTCTTATATTTTTGCACTATTAATGGAGCATGCCGACAGCAGACAGGGAGTCTCCTCAGGTGAGACAGACATTCCCATACAGGCATGTGTGGACTTGCAGTAGTTCCGGAACCTGCCCCCACCTCTGGATTGAAGAAAGGAGTGGTCACACACAGTGACACAGAATTCACTGCAGTGCAAGCATTTTGAAGAACATATAAAGTTCATATGTGAGAAATAATTTATTTCAGTGGTTTTCAGACTGGTCTGGGCATGCACTCTAAAAACAAATATTTTGGCTCAACAAAACAAATTAAGGTAACAGTTTGTATCAATCTTTTAATGAAATCATGTTCAACAAATGTACTTGAGTTAGGGAAATAAGCATCGCCTCAACAATTAAAGATACTTTTAATGACCACTTACCTAATGTTTTGTAGTATAAACTAGTTTTTAAATTGATTAGGCTACTCATAAAAATATATTTGTTCCAACTAGTTTTTGCACATTATTTACAGTATCAAAATACAATCGCAACTTAAAAGGTTTATCTAAATCAATAAATTAGAGCTTTTATCTTGCAACCATGCATTTAATTAAGTGGTGACAATAGGTTCACTGAATTACCTTGCAGATTATGGGTGCTGGAAGTAGGGGTCCTGAGGGGACTGCAACACGCTCTAAAATCTGGTTTAAAGAAAATGGTCAAGCTTTTATTTACTTTTATTTATTTTATTGCCTTGTTTTCTATCAATTTTATTGGCAAAAAAGTAAATAAATATGTGTAAAATTTTGTTAATAACTATTAAATAGGCTATTAATTATCCTAGCCATTCACATTAATGCAAAAACAATGGATGTCGTGAGTATGGTGTCATTATAAGGGAGGTATATAATATTAATTAATATAACTTTTATCAGATTTTTGGGAAGTTGGAACAAAAGGGACTCTGTTTGACCTGAATGGAATGGAACAGAACTTAATTAGTATCATCGGTAACATGTTGACAGTTTTTATTCATTGTAACTTCTAATGGTCCTTGCTTAATCATTTATAGACTATGGAGAGTTTATAATCTTGAAACAAATACTTACAGGGTATTCCTTAAGATAAAATCCTCTCAAATTGGGGGTCTTTGACATGAAAAAGTTGGGGAAACCTTGATTTAGTTGACTGCAAGCATCTAGCATACAGTACATTCTGTCAAACAACAATACCTCCTAGTATGTTTTTCTGTTTCAACAACATTCATATTTACATATTCAAAGTGGGTTTCTGTCTGCATGCTGTCACCTGAGGGCAAAATGTGGGTTTTAGACATCTTCCTCTTTTCTTATACTGTATGGAAACATTGGATGGGAATAATGACAGATAATCCACAAAAACAAAGACTGAAATGACACTAGTGGAGGACTACAACTGTGCCTTCTTTAACCAGATGCTGCAGCCGGTAGGCTAGCACCTTTAGACTTCTCTGTTTTTGTTGGAATCTGTTTTTGGCTTTATTGCTAGAACACATTGCATTACTTATGAAATAAATAGTCTACATTCGTCGGAAAAGGAAGCATGGAATTTGGACTAAAGAACAGCAGAATTTGAGATGATCCACCCAGCCAGATCAGCAGGACCAGCCCACCACGGTGGGAGCTGTCGTCCAGTAAGGATGCCAGCCCAGCTGGACAGGCTGCTCCTGACTAATGTCTGGTGTGGCCCAAATAAGACTCAGGCTGGCCAAACAACAGGAAATCAGAGACTGTTGTGCCTGAATCTACGAGACCTGCTCCATCAACATCCCATATCAAGCACTCATTGAGTGGACCATGTTCCAAGCTGACTGAGCGCTGGATGAGAGGAGGTTGACTGTTTACATCGATGATACTTGGTGCTCAAACACAGTCAAAGTGGATGGACACTGTTTCTTTTTATGTGAAGAAAAGCACCCAAACCTGACAGACTCTATCAAAGTGGTTAAAGTAAACAGTGAAAAAGCCTGTTGTCGGACCACAGTCAGTGTGTTTTGTAACCTGTTTGCTCTACTTGCTTCTTCACACAAGGTGGCAAATCAAAACCAGGGAGTGCTGTTTGCAAAACATTTCCCAAATGGGTGTTACTGTGGACACTGGTGGGAGACTGTTGGTTGAAATTTAAGCTTTCCCAGTGCTGCAGGTAAGGGCCACGGCAGGGCTGGTGCCTGAGTGAAGTGTTGTGTTTCTCACTAATACCAAGACTTTCATAGCCCTGGGTGTTGTTTTACACACCACACCCAAACATTCAGACCAGGATCAGACCATCTTAAATGCAGTTTATTTTGTTCAAGAATGCAACAGAAACAAAGTTGCCAAAAAGGAAGCGAGAAAAGTGGAAAATCATAATAAATAAATCATAAATCTACTTCTGCATATAGGGTTGCTACTGTTCCAGCCATCAGCACACTTATAAGGGATCACAGCTCTATACAGCTCTTCACCCACATAAGGACTCTGAGGTATACCTGTGAGTGTATTCATCGTCCCACACATGCATATTTT